GGGGCAGAGAAAAAGAGAGAGGCCCTCGACAGTGTGGATTGACACAGTGGTTGCAACAATGGGTTCAAACTTCAGAACAATTGTGAAGATGGTACATGTGTTAGGCTGGGTTGACTAGAGAAACAAATCCATTGACACTCATATGTGTGCAAGAAAGAGCTTTGCATCAAGACACAATCCTACATCAAGAAAACATCCCAACGCAGTCCAACTCAAGTCCATAACAACCCCTTTAGACTCATGTAGCCACAAGCAATGACGCAGAATGCAGGAATAGCACAGGTCGGTGGGTGCAAAGTCATGTGGATCCAAAGGTGGTAGAAACATCAGGTCTCAGAGTGGCCTGCCGGCAGGAAGATGAAGAGTGGGCAGTTCCCAGGGTTCTCCCTATGAGAAGGCCACACCCACAAGGAGTCACCATCAGGCTGTATAACCTGATTGACAGACTAAACTCCACCCTTATTCTTTTATATATCTTCAAGTTGACATGAAATTATGTAACTCTCACAGTGCAGGGTCAGGCCGTGTTGTGTTCTGTTGTTCACAGGGTCCCTGTGAGCTGGCACCCAACAACCACGACAGCCACATGCATGACAGTGGGAGCCCAAAATCCATGTGCAGAGTTCAACGTGGAGGAAGCCACTGGCAAATTCCCTCTGACCACAGTTGAGGGATGTGAATAGTCTTGCTATCAAGCAGAGAGGATTTAAAATTGATTATGGCAGATGTAGTTAGGTTAAAATGTAATACCTTATCACTTGATCTCCTTTTTGACCCATTTTAAAATCGTTTCAATCTTTAATATCTTCTGCTTTCTTTTCAATTGAGGTTTCTCTCTGTTTTGGTTTTTAATTATTGCTGAGGTTCTTTTTTTCTATTTGTATTTTGTATGTTTTTTTGATTGTTTTATTAGGGGCGCATATAACTCTTATCACAATCCATACATACATCAATTGTGTAAAGCACATTTGTACATTCATTGCCCTCATCATTCTCAAAACATTTGCTCTCCACTTAATCCCCTGGCATCAGCTCCTCATTTTTCCCCTCCCTCCCTGCTCCCTCATGAACCCTTGACAATTTATAAATTATTTTTTTGTCATATCTTGCCCTGTGCAACGTCTCCCTTCACCCGCTTTTCTGTTTTTCGTCCCCCAGGGAGGAGGTCACATGTAGATTCTTGTAATTGGTTCCCCCTTTCCAACCCACCCTCCCAGTATCGCCACTCACACCACTGGCCTGAAGGGATCATCCACCCTGGATTCTCTGTGTTTCCAGTTCCTATCTGTACCAGTGTACATCCTCTGGTCTAGCCAGATTTGTAAGGTAGAATTGGGATCATGATAGTGGGGGGAGGAGGAAGCATTTAGGAACCAGAGGAAAGTTGTATGTTTCATCGTTGCTACATCCCACCCTGACTGTCTTGTCTCCTCCCCGAGACCCTTCTGTAAGGGGATCTCCAGTGGCCTACAAATGGGCTTTGGATCTCCACTCTGCACTCCCCCCTTCATTCACTATGGATTGGTAAATCTATAGAGATAGTAACTGGATTAATAATTACCTAGGTGAATGACAGGGGAAGTTGGGGGGAAATGGGGAGCTAACAACAATGAGTATAAGATAGAAGAAAATGTTCTGAAATTGATTGTGGTGATAATTACACAATTCCCATTAGCATAATTGAACTATTAAATTATGTGATATGTAAAATATATACTAATAAAGCTATTAAGAAAAGAAGAATGTAGCTGTGGTGAGGACCTCAGAGATCAGCTTGCCCCCCTCTGCATGGCACGGTGGGCCGAGAGTGGAGCTTCCTCAGATAGGGTCAACCTGTGGTTACCCTGGGCTTGTAAACAACAATGCTGTGGGGGTTGTTGGGTGCCTGGTTGTTGGGTGCTATTGAGATGATTCTGACTTGTGGTGACCCTGTGACAGAGTAGAACTTCCCCACAGGGTCTTCTGGGCTGTCATATTGTGAGTTGCATCCTCTAACCACACTTATTCAAGCTGTGTGCTGAGCAAATCATCAGCGAAGTTGGCTTACATGAAGAAGAATGTGGCATCGGGGTTGGAGGAAGGCTTATTAACAACTGCGATATGCAGATGACACGACCCTGCTTGCTGAAAGGGAGGAGGACCTGAAGCACTTGCTGGTGAAGATGAAGGACTGCAGCCTTCAGTGTGGATTAAACCATAATGTAAAGAAGACCCAAACCCTCACAACTGGACCCACAGGTAACCTCATAAGTGGAGGAAAGGCTGACGTGGCCAAGCATTCGGTCTGTCTTGGCTCTAGAAGCAATGCTCATGGAAGCAGCAGTCAAGAGATCAAAAGATGCATTGTATAAGGCAAATCTGTTGCGCAAGACTTCTTCAGAGTATTGAAAAGCAAGGGTGTTACTTTGAGGACTAAGGCGTGACTGACCCAAGCCGTCCTATTTTCCGTCGCCTCCCATGCATGTGAAAGTTGTACATTGAAGAAGGGGAACCGAAGAAGAATCAGTATGTTTGAACTGTGGTGCTGGAGAAGAACGTTGAAAGTACCATGGATGCCAAAAGGTTTGGAAGAGGTACAACCTGAGTGCTCCTTCGAGACAAAAATGGTGAGACATGGTCTTACATACTTGGAACACATTGCCAGCAGACACCAGTGCCTGGGGAAGGGCATCATGTTTGGTAAAGTGGAGGTGGTTATGTTGTTAGATGCCATCAAGTCCCTTCCAACCCCTAGTGATCCAGTGCACAAAAGAAGGAAACACTGCCATCCGCACAATTGTGCCTAGTCTTGACCCCACTGTTACAGCCAGGGTGTCAATCCATCTCCTTGAGGGCTGTGGTAGTTATACAATTTCATACCAACTTGATAAATGAATAAAGGGGTGGGGTCTAGGCTGTCAATCAGGCCCCAGCCTGATTGATCCCTCCGTATAGGTGTGGCCTTCTCAAGAAGATTCTGGGAACTACTTCTTCCTCCCTGGAGGAGGACACAGTCTCTCTCTGCTACACATTCCTGTTGACAAGCCACAGGGAGCCATGCTGATGGCAGCCAGAGCCCTGGAAATGCGACCACGGCCATTGGACCCACCAGACTTTCCACCCACCGGTCTGTGATCTTCCTGCATTCAGCATCATTGTATGGGCTGTGTGAATCTGAAGAGGAATTCATGGGCTAATATCAGATTTATAGGCTAGTATCAAACTTACAGACTTGATCTGGACTTTTATTGATGTATAATTACTTATTGATATACAATTTTCTCTTACACACATGGTCTCTGGGTTTGTTTCTCCAGTCAACTTGGACTAACACAAGGGCCTTCCCCTCCTTCCCTTAGAAACATAGGGAGGGCCACAAGGAGATGGATTGACACCCTGGGCTGCAACCAGGGGTCAAAAATAGGAACCATTGCGAAGATGGTGCGGACCAGGCAGTATTTCATTCTGTTGTGCAGAAGGCTGCTAGGGGTTGGAGTCAACTGGATGGCACCTAACAACAACAGCACTGTTACAGGAGCAGATTACCAGATCTTTCTCCCATGCAGCCACTGTGTGGGTTGGAACCACTAACCCTTCAGTTAGCAGTCAGGAGCTTAGCCATTGTGCACCGACACACCAACACAAACGCACTGTCATTGAGTCCATTCTGACTCGTAGCGACCCGATGGCACAGAGCAGACCTGTCCTTGTGAGTTCCCAATACGCTACATCTTTACAGGAGGAGAAAGCCTCCTCTTCCTCCCAGGGAGTCACAGCCAACATTGCTGTTAGCAGCTCACTGTATATCTCATGATGCCTCCAGGTCTCTGGTCACTGTGCCTCAAGCCCGAGACAATTCATATTGCTACTGCTAAGAGAGCTGTTCTGAAAGCTCCCCCCTCAGGCAGGAGCTATGTAAAGGGATGTCGAGCTATGTAAAGGGATGTCGTCCCAGCTTCAATTTCATGGACACAGAAAGGTGCAACTTGATGGTGGCTAGTTGTGCTCGAACCATTTCCTGAAAAAAAATTCTCAAGATTTGCTGCTGTGTCCTGCGATGTGCACCTGGCTGGGAGAGCTACACAGGTGGAGGAGGAAGGCTTGGCTGCAGGTTTGCCTCCAGGTGTTCAAAAGACCCTCGTGTTTCCTGGCCATATTGCCATCAGCCCCTGTGGGCCCTTCTTGGCATCCAAGGGGAGACCAGAAGAAGGGAACTGACTGTCTGGAGGCACAGACTGAAAAGCACCAAAGCAGAGAAGATGGGTGTCCATGTTTCAGCCCAGTCAGCTTCCCGGGCTACCCAACTTAGTCATTTGTAGAAAAGCCACCGGCACCTGATCAAAAAAAACACAAAAATCAACCTCTACTTGGATCCCAAACTTCTATTTTGAGGCTTGTTCTTGTCGTTGGGTGCTGTTGACTCAATGGAGGCTTGGAGCAAGGCCATAGGCTGTCATCTTCATGGGAGCCGGTCATCAAGTCTTCTCCCCAAAGAGGCTTGTCGTGGGGGGCGGGGGTGGGGGAGGGGTTTCAAACCAGCCTTCGGGTGAGAAGCCAAGTGCTTAACTGCTGTGCCACCAGGGCTCCTTGACTTGCCCCCAATCCTATTTTGAGAGAACAAATTCCAAACAAGTACTTTGTAAGCGAGATGGATACCTATGTAAACTTTTAGGTCATTAACCCAGGTCTCCCTCAAAATTTCAGAAATTAAAAAAAGTAAGAATGTATTACATGTTCTCTTCCTTTTCAACCCCGCGCTTTCACACCCTTCGCGGTGTTAACGCACTGACAGTCGGTTGACTTTGGTCTCGTGGTCATAACTGAATTGCTCTACGTGAGGAATCATCCACTTCGCCTCCAGGTTCGGCGTAGTCTTTGACACTTAACCTTAAGGCTCTTCTCATTTCCCCCAGGCGAGGACACGCAATGAAGACGACCAATGAGAAGTAGAAGATCTCTTGTTACAACTAAGAACATCTATCCTGGTCCTCAGAGGACACGAGAGAGAAGCCTGCACACACATGGATGAAACAGACTTTTCAGATGACAAGATTGACACACAGCAGGAGGATGCTCCTAATGATGGGGGCATCCCCTCAAACAATGACGTTCTCGAGGTCTCCGATCAGGTTATCTTCACAGTAGACCCTCAGGGAAAAGTTGTACAACAAAAGACTCATAGAAATGCAGATACGCCCATACTTCCGGATCAAATGACTGAAAATGCTGCCCACACAAAAGACAATGGAGAGAAACAATGCACTATAATTCTTCACATTCCACCCAGAAAAGAGAAAACTTCAAAGTCGAACATTTCTGAAATTTTACTCAATCATCTTTCCAAAGAGGAATTCTTAAAAGGGCCAGGCATTGATGGTGAAACTTTCCCAGAGATCACCAATGCTGATAATTTGGAAGAAGCTGTTATTAAAAATGTTATTTTGTGCTATGTTAAGAATTCTTGGTCCAACGAACAAAGCCCAGAACACGACGAGCAACTCAATCCCCAAGGGGATGGTGAAGACCACGGGAAGCCCAGATGTCCTCCAATCACAGCAGAAGGAAACCTCTCCGACTTCAAAGAGCCCGTGGTTGCTGGACGGAGCAGCATTCAAGGGAATGTAAAGTCTCCAGCTACAACAGAGAGTCCAAATGCCAATCAGAAAACTGTCCAAGGGCTGACACCCCAGAAACAGCAGTCAGAAAAATCAAGTTCTGGGAACGGGTTCAAGTGTGGCCAAGGTCAAGTTCATTATCGGCTCCCTGATTTCTCGAAAGTTGCTCCCAGAGTGAAAATCCCTAAAAAGAACATATTCAACAAGCCACTGACCGTATCTAAGCAAACTGTGTCTTCTCTGACTTTGAAAGATAAGCCATCTTTTGTGCAAGATCTTTTCGAAAGTATGCCTACCTCAAAATGTGTAGAAAAACAACATCAAGCGAGGGAGAGGGAAATTGTTGGGCCTTCACAACAAGCGCAGGTAAGAGAAAGTAGCTCATCTCGATCCGCGTGAGTTTCAGGAGTGGGCACCGAACTGGGTTCTCGTGCTGGGTCACCCTGTATAAAGGACCTCTCAGAATATTGGTGGATGCCCTCATTGGAAAAATAAAGGGCAGGACTAACAATAATGCCTAAGACAACAAAATCTACGTTCTTAAACCGGAATTTGGGTCTCTCTGTCTCTCTGTCTCTCCATCTCCATCTCCTCCTCTCTCAAACGTCATTCTACCATTGTGAAGCGGTTCCAGGCACCGCAAATGCTCCGCATGCTTGGCAGCTAACTGAAGGGTTGCAGGTCTGATTCCACGGTCAGAAGAAAGGCCTGATGAGCTACTTTCAAACGATCAGCCATTGCGACTCCTGTGCAGCACAGGTGTACTCTGACACACGTGGGACTGCCATGAGTCAAAACGGACCTGAGTGCAGCGGCGTAGCCTTCCATTTGCAGTTCCTTTCCGCCAGGCCTCTCCTCCTGTTCCCTGGCTGCTCTGAACATCTCCGTTCCTGAAGATTTTGAGCACCTGCCTTTGCGTGAACTGTCCCATCTCTACTGACCCGAGACCTGCTGACATTCATAGTCTTCGTCAGTTGCTCCTTGTGCCACAGGACTTCTCAGCCTCCCCAAGCCACACTCTCTTTTACTTTGGTCAGAATGTTTATCTCAGGATGCTTTGTGCCAACCATTTGGAGATGGGGGCACCTATTTCTGCTAACCGGACCAAACCAAACCAAACTCACTGCCTTTGAGTTGACATGCACTCCTAGCGACCCTATAGGACAGGGCAGAACTGCCCCTGAGAGTTTAAGACTGTAACTCTTTATGGGAGTAGAAAATCCCATCGTTTTTGTACAGAGCAGCTAATGGTTTTGAACCACCAACCTTGTTGTTAACAGGCCAATGGGTAACCTCTACATCTCCAGGGCTCTAGGGACCTATCAATCCAGAATGACAGGAACACTCAGGAGAGCAGCAACCTTAACCCATCTCTCCATTGCCTACTTTTCCCCTCCAAGGTTTGACCTGTAGTCTTACCTATTTACACTGTTAGGTATTACTGATAAATTGAATAAGATCTTAACCAACATACTTCAAGTTCTTATATTGGTAATCATTCAGTGCAAAATTTTGTTACTGCTGGAACTATGCCATGTCCCTCTTAACTTATCTACACACACACACACACACACACACACACCCCTTCCCGACATGATCTTGATTTTTTCTGGTTCTCTCATAAGGCAAATTCGTATCATTGACCAAAGTGAGCATTTTACTTACCGGCACCGACAGGGCCGGGTGGGCTTCCTTTTGTGCTCCTCCATCCTTCATGCTGCCACTCCTTTCTGGGGCGGGAACCTGCCCTGGGCTGGCAGCCCCTAGGTCCTGGAGAGTGCTATGTTCCGTTGATATTGGGAGCCCTTGGGGCGCCTCATTTTGCTGGAGAGAGGAAGTTCCCAGGCTCACAGCCTCCTCAGGGCCTGTGGTGAGGGGGGGCAGGGGGGCTTGCTTCCCTTTGGCAGTGGGGGTCTGAGGGCAGATGTCAGATTGGCCAACGGAGCTCTATAGGATTTGCATCTACAATATGACTTAGATATTGCTAATTACCGTTAATCATATAGCTCTTGGTCCCTAGAGTATTTGGGCGGGGGGTGTCTTTGTGTGATGGGGACAATGGTTCCCCTGGAATGATAAAACCCTGTCTAGTTGGCACTGAACACCGGAGGTGCTGTGTGTTACGTGCGGGGCTGCTAGCGGCAGTACCGGCAGTTCAGATCCACCAGCTGCTCTGTGGGAGAAATGTAAAGCTGCTCCCGTGAAGACTGTGTCTCGGAAATTCCAAAGATCGGTTCTACTTGTCCTTTCGGGCGGCGATGCTTTGGGATTGATCCAATGGCAGGGGCTTTGGGGGTGGTCCAGCCATCCTGTGCCAAGCAGAAAAGGATCAAGTCTGGTGTCGACAATTATCTTTATGCACATCTTGGAAATTAATAGGCACCGTTTTCTGTCATTTCTGGAGGGTTGTTACTGGGTTTGGTGCCACTGAGAGCACCGGTGCCAGAGCGTGACCAGACCCACAACGGTCTGTGTCCTCATGGAGCTAATGGCTGGCTTTCAGGAGAAATGTTTGAGCATTGCACACCACCCCATTAGACGGTTGGCATGGGTTGGATGCTTACCACATGCCAGATACTCTGATAAATATTGAGCATATAATCCTCACAGGCGCCCTACGAGACAGGGTCTCTGATGCTCTTGATGTTGCTGCTAACGAACCCGAGGCTTCCAGTGATTAAGCAATTGCCCAGAGTCACCCAAAAGACAAGTATCAGGACTGGAATTCAACCTGCACATCGGTGTCCTGCCTCTTGACTACAACCGCTGGCTGCCTCTGTGCTGACTAGAACTGGTCTGGTCCTTCTGAGGGGCGGTGGCTTTGCTGGTCAACAGTAATGTTTTCTTATCCTTTAATCGTACAGGTGGGGCCTACAGCACCTATCCACCAAGACCACCTCACAGGTACTATCGCTTTTTAACTTGGCGGAGGGATGATGGGCTGAAACAAGCAAATGGTGGTGATTGCCACAGACCTGTGTTTGCCGTTGTCACACGATGATAAGTTGATTGACGTCTGGATCAACTTGTTCTTTCTTATATAGGAGTAGAATCGGAGACAGCGCTCTCTAAATTGTCATCAACCTCTCAGGAAGGCTCGTCCTCCAGCTCCTACATATTTCAAAAGATATCAAAAGGGAAACAGATGTGTCAGAAGCTAAAAGAAGAGACGGAACAACTGGAGGCGAAAGTAATACTCTTAAAAAAAAAAAA